AATAACAGTTACAGCCATCCTCGTGGAGGTGGGGAACTTAACAGGATTCAGCAGCACAGTTTGGTTTATGCATTTTGATCAATAATCTAGTCACAACAGTGCCTGAATGTAAATGAGTTCTGGTCTTTAGTCACAACCATTGTCAGACCTGCGGTTTGTGTCTGCAGTCCAGCACCTCCCTGCACCAGGAGCTGGCACGGCTGCAGGGCCCTCTGCACCCATCAACGCCCAAATCAGGCACTGCTATGGCACCCAAAAATTCACTGGCCTTGTTCTGGTTCTCTACACAGACAGGGATGAATGACTGTGCTCAGGCACCAGTGCAGTGACCCATAAATAAAACAAACTAGAAGACAAAGAAATGCTGTGAATCTTAAAAAGGAAAATTTAACCAATGTAAAACCAGTATCTGGTCTGTTCACATGTCCACAAGATCAGCTTAAAAAGGGCTTCACAAAGGATTTTTACATGCACTACTTAGGCATCCTTGGATAGTACTCTGGATTCATTCTACCCCGAAGGGAGTCCAATCTGTTGATTACTGTTGGCATGAACAGGAAACTGTATCTCTCTTAGGGACACAACTGTTACAGCAGGCAGTTTGAGAAGATGAGGGAGATGACGTGAGGATAAACAACTTCAACACCATAAATGATTAACAACACTAGCGAGCACAGGTAAGGCATAAGGAAATTTCATCCTTCCTGCCCTTTCCCAAGGTAATAATGACAAATTGGCCATACTAGAAATCCTTAGTTCACTACAGCTACGTTTTGTCTCTAACACTACAAGCAGGGCTGCCAGAGGACTTCTGTGAATCAGTAAGCAAAGTCTATTTCACAAAGAGAGCCAAAACTGCTCTGCAGGACCAGGCCCATCTGCCACCACAGCAGCCCCCAGTGCCTCTGCCACAGCCGAGCAGCACGTGCAGGGGCTGGGATCACAGCAGTGCCTTGCTTCCACACCTTCCAAAGACTTTTGCTCTTTGCGTTTTGCATGCCCTGGGAAGCTCAGCTGCATCTCAGACTTTGAAAGCACCTTGTTATTTAGTCAGCGTTTCAACTGTACTGGGGAAACTGGCCAGCAAGCAGGACCTGCAGCACAACTGAAGACTGATGGGTTGGGCTGGGCTGTGTGCCAGTTGTCCCAGTGTCACCTGGTGAGCAAATCACCTGGATGTCATCTGACACCACATGTACAGCAGAAAATAACCCCCAAAACTGGAGGGTGCTCAGGTGCCCCAGTGGCAGGCACAGTTTGAGAACACAGAGTAGCAGCCTTGCTTCAGGGCTTCAGTTAGCTTCCAAAGATGATTCCATTTCCCAGGGGGCAGGAATCCTCCTGAGAGGGCGAAAGCCAGCCCAGCTGCACGGGCTGTGAGCCACATCTGACATGTACCAGGCTGGGCTTCCCTGCTGCCCTCCTGGCATGGGCACAGCCAGAGGGGCTCCGGGGAGGACAGGCCTGTCCTCTGCTGGGACACTGCTCAGGACAGCCAGGGGACAGGGCTCTGCTCTCTGCTCTGCTGGGACACTGCTCAGGACACAGCCAGGGGACAGGGCACTGCTCTCTGCTCTGCTGGGACACTGCTCAGGACAGCCAGGGGACAGGGCTCTGCTCTCTGCTGGGGACACTGCTCAGGACACAGCCAGGGGACAGGGCTCTGCTGGGACACTGCTCAGGACAGCCAGGGCACAGGGCTCTGCTCTCTGCTGGGACACTGCTCAGGACAGCCAGGGGACAGGGCTCTGCTCTCTGCTCTGCTGGGACACTGCTCAGGACACAGCCAGGGCACAGGGCACTGCTCTCTCAAAGCAAACAGCATTTTATTCTCACTGTGGTTTTTTCCACATCGCTCCATGCACCTTACAAACTTCCCAGAGGTCTCCACATTTCCACTCAGGTTGTGCAGGCAGCAAAGTGAAGACCAAGAGCCGAGGTGGCCCACATAAAACAGACTTGGCTGCAGCTGTGTGCCAGGGTCTGGAGCCCACCGTGCTGCTGGACCCACAGGACACCCTCCTCAGCTGAGAGCTGCAGCACAACAGCCCACACTGCCTCAGGCTGAATCACCAGCTAAAGGGATTATTAACTTCCAGCTGCGTTGGGCCCCATTTCCTTTGTGCAACAGTGTGCCTAATTGCAAATTCTAATTTACTGTAGCAGAGCACAAGCCCAGGTCCAAGGATAAATTAAAATGACAGCTCTATGGGAAGTTCAGAATTTAACTTTCTAACTTATCTGATTTGATGCAGATACAAATATTTAAATCCAGCCAAGGAAACAAACAGTCTGTTTCTAAGAAGTTCCAGCTGGGAAGGGGGGAAGGAAGGATTCTGTAGGAAGAGAGGCTGCAACAATCAGTGTACTGTCACAGTGCCTGCAGGAGCAGAACAGCCGCCGTGCAGCTTTGGCTGGTGCTGTGCCCCTCCCCTGCGAGGCTCATCTGGGTTTGAGTTTCCTGAGCTTTTTTTTTCCCTTTAGTGAAAAACTACTTTGCTATCCTGAGAGTAAGAGCTTTTACTTTTAAATCTCCTTTGTACAATTGCCCTGTTCTCTTTTCAAGGGAAACACTGAGCCTGTGAGTGAAACACATGGAGCCTGGCACATGATTGGCGGCCATCCCCACACTGATAGATGTTAGTTCTGTTGAAACAGATCAAACCTGAATTCAAACTGCAGTAAAAAAAAAATTTAAAAGACAAGTTTTGTTTCTGAATGCTGAAATTTCAAATCAGATTTCTAGTAATCTGGGTTTTTAGCACAATTGAATCCTGTGACTGAATCACAGACCCACGGCTTTGGTGCTGCCAAGGAAAACAGTGCCCGGGATACTCCCTGAGAAGCTGCCAGAGAGGATGAGGAGGAGAAGGCGATGCGGTGAGGAGGTTACACAACGTTACACAACGTCACCGCCCGTGGGCAGCCGGCCAGCCCTGCCTGGGGGCCGGGTCAGTGCCAGCTCACACCACAGCAGCAGGGCCGTGTGCTCGCCATGTGCTCCCCACACACGTGGAGGCAAACGCTGGTACGGCCCGAGGGCAGCGTGACCTTCCCTGCCACGCCCGGAGAGAACCGGCTGCGGGAGCACCCGGCTGAGTGACAGCCAGCCAGGACAGACTGCACGCTGACCGACAGACAGCCAGGACAGACTGCACACCGACCGACGGACAGCCAGGACAGACTGCACACCGACCGACGGACAGACTGCACACCGACCGACGGACAGCCAGGACAGACTGCACACCGACCGACGGACAGACTGCACACCGACCGACAGACAGCCAGGACAGACTGCACAGTGACCGACAGACAGACTGCACGCTGACCAATGGACAGCCAGGACAGACTGCACACCGACTGACAGCCAGGACAGACTGCACGCTGACTGACAGACAGACTGCACACTGACCGACGGACAGCCAGGACAGACTGCACACTGACCGACAGACAGCCAGGACAGACTGCACACTGACCGACGGACAGACTGCACACCGACCGACAGACAGACTGCACACTGACCAACAGACAGCCAGGACAGACTGCACACCGACCGACAGACAGACTGCACACTGACCAACAGACAGCCAGGACAGACTGCACGCTGACTGACAGACAGACTGCACACTGACCGACGGACAGCCAGGACAGACTGCACACTGACCGACGGACAGACTACACACCGACCGACAGACAGCCAGGACAGACTGCACGCTGACTGACAGACAGACTGCACACTGACCGACGGACAGCCAGGACAGACTGCACACTGACCGACGGACAGACTACACACCGACCGACGGACAGACTGCGCACCGACCAACAGACAGCCACGGACAGACTGACCGACGGACAGCCACGGACAGACTGACCGACGGACAGCCACGGACAGACTGACCGATGGACAGCCACGGACAGACTGACCGATGGACAGCCACGGACAGCCAGTCCCGGCCAGGACTGCGCACCCCAGACTGGCCGTCAGAGAGGCTCCTCCTGCAAACTACAACATCAGCCTGCCAAAACCCAAAGAAAGGCTCAGATCTTCTCTAAAGCCCATTAGGCCTCAGTACAACCACACCCCCAAAAACCACTTTTTGGAGCAACACAGAGAGCGGATAGGTACAGTCAGAATTTGCCCCAACCAAAGTCTCTCCGAGGGAAGTTGCTGGTGAAAACTAAGAGGAGGGCTGAACTATTCTGAGGCATTACTGACTCTCCAAAGCAAAGCTGAAGTGAATAATCAATTCTGAACACCAGAGGGAAATGGTGTTTGAGAGTGGCTGAGGAAAAATGGAAACAAAGTGAGAAAAGATTACATTTTACTGTGGAAAAGACCATTGTGATCAATCCTCAGCACCTTTTATTCCAGTCAAAATGTACAAGGTGTACTAGGTCTCTATTTGCATTGTAATTGCAGCAACTCTTCCAGTTTCCAAATGAATTTTAACTGCCTTACATACTACTGATTTCACATTCACAGGGGACATCTACAACAATTTCTTTTGTGCTACCATTAACCACTTTCCCAAACGTTAAACAAGCAAACACTAACACTTATTTCCCTCCAGCTACAAACACAACTGATTTTCACCCGTGCTTTCTCCCAGATTCACTCCTGGTGGTGCCCCATCCACCCACAGCCTCATGCTGCAGCCTCAGATTCTAGGCTTTCCTTGCCTCCAAGCAAATGACTTGTACTCACATGTCCCCCCCATCGAAATTTTGAGACATACCAAATCTTTACCGAAATCTGTCTTTTGGTTAAGCAAACAGAAAACCTCCCCAAACCATACATATTAAAATTCACCTGGGCCCAAAAGGAAACAACTGAAGTTCACTCAGCCTGGGTCTCTAAGATCACGTGAATTATCTGCTCCCTGCCATCACCACTTCAGGCAAGGATGATGTGGGGCTAACCCGGAACCCCCAGAGGCGGAGTTTCTGTGCACCCCAAGTCAGCTCTGGGCTCTGCCCAGCGCCACGAGCGCCGCACGTACCTGGATGTATCGCAAGGCACTCCTGAGGACGCTGAGGTTTGAGGTCTTCTTGTCATCCACGTTGGGGATGTTGCGCTTTAATGTCTCAAAGCACTCTTTCAAATGAGCACGTCTAAAGAAAACACAGGTGGGTCGTCAGCCGCCAGGAGACACAGCAGGAATCAATTCCACGGAGGGGAGAGCTTAATTGGGGCCTTAATCCAGCAAAGCACCTACACCTGTGCATAGCAGCCCCCCAGCACAGCCTGTCACAGCTGAGCCAGCTCACCCAGCAGGGCTGTGCCTGGGCTCTACCCCAGCTTTGTTAGGAACACCGTGCAGCCTTAAATAAAATATCTCATCTCACTCTGCTGGTACTTTCACTGTCACCATACTTCCAATTTAGCTAGTCAGGCTTGTAGAGTCTTGGGTCAGAAACTGATGTTTATTCTGTATTCACACTGCACACTGACCCCTCATTTGGGGTATTTTACTCTTTTTAAATCAAAAGAGTCACACTGTTATGCACTGTTACTGCTTTGCAGGATCAGGGTGGTTGGGATGCAATGGTGCAGTTAAACAGAACATATTGGGAAGCAAGAAATGCAGAATTAAGCTATAAGAAAGCCAAGCAATACTGCAAGATTCAGTAATAGTCACTAAGAATTTTATTCAGGTTATCTGTTTAAAAAACAAGCAAGCAAACAAACAAAAACCCGCCAAAGCCAAACAAATATTGACAGACAATAGGCCAAAAAAAGGAGGGGAATTACGATTAAAAAACCCAAACCCCTGGCTTTCTACGCACCTGTTCTTCTCCAATTTATTATGTACTTCCCTGGTCCCAACCCTGTAACCCAAACAGAACAAAGATCAGCTCAGTGTCAGGTTGAAAACTCCTGCCTTGCACCTGTGCCTGCAGCAGTGTCTGTATGTCAAGATGCAAAAGCAGCAGAAGTGTTCATGTATTACTGGTTTAACATTAAGTACATATATATTCCTGCCTACACTGTTTCAAGATGAACTCCATACTTTACACGTGCATCAGAGGAACCAAGCACACAGTGCACAGAAGATACAAACAGGTGTGATGTGTGTGTGTATATGTGCACACATGGCTACTACCAACAGGGAAAGACACCAAGTATGGATTTTAAGTATTTGTACAGACCCAGAGAGCCCAGATTCTGACCTGGTTCTGATCTATGCCTACACTCCAGTGGGACAAGGTTTGTGCAGTTCCATATTCAAGCGTATGGGATTGAGCAGACACTTCCAACTTTGGATTTTTACTGTGCATGAAAAAACACAGCTGAGGATAAACATGGAATGAAGCAATACAGGAATTCTCCAGTCACTGCTGAAGAAAAAACCAGCGTGAGTTTCTGGTTTTGGGGTTGGAGTCCACACACTCTCTGAATCAGAGGAATATTTTTAGGAAAAGCCAAACAAATTCATGTTATCTCAGTTTTTCAGCTCAGTTTTTCAGTGATAAGGTACATTAGCAGATGTGGAGATTTCAAGAATCTTTCATACACTGTGCAAAGTAATTATATTATGGTACAGGACATTGAGGTAATAATATTTAATAAATTGTCACCAATATTTGACAGCATTTCCCCGTGAAACATTTACAGGCTGAAAAAGATATCTTTTCTGTGCTTATGGAGCAATTCTGGGGAGAGACAGTGGTGATGCTGTGCTCCACACTGGCACCACAGCCCCCCACCTCCCAGGGCACAGCTCAGTCTGGCAGCACAGCAGCAGCTTGTGGGTGCACTTGCAGCCACCCCACTGCCCACAGCCCAGGCAGCCAAACCTGTGCAGCCTGCCCTGGCACCCTGTGCCAGCAGAAACCTCCTCCACAGCTCCTGAACCCACACAACCTCAGTGATGGGCTCTCTCCATTAGTGCACAGACCAACAGACCCTTCCAGCAGCAGACAGGCTCTGAAGATCTCAATCTGCTTAGAGGAACTACACTGGCATTTTACTGAAGCCTTCATCTTCACAAACTCCTATCTGCATTACTTTCACTGTTTCTATGCATTTTGGGATCTGTACATCCCAATAAACCTTTTTTCTGTCCACTATACATCTCCACCAGTCCCCATGGCATTCACACACCATCTCTAACACCACTACCAGGAGACATCCCCCTGCTGCAGGCAGCCAGAACAGGGGCCCAGACAGCATAGCCAGGAGGGAAGACTGCACAGATCCAGGTCACTTATGCTGCAGGAAAATTGAGGGGCCAAAGGAAACAGGTAAAACTGCTGCAAAGAAGGGAATGGTTTGTTCTCCCAGTCCACAAGCAGTAATACCAGACTCCCTACTGGGATACTGTGGTCTGGAAACAACCACCTACAGAGAAGGTAGGGTCTCCACCAGCCAAAGTCCTTAAGAACAAGCCAGAAAAACACTAACCTGGAGCAACATCAGAGCCACAAGTCCTGTCAGAGGGTAGGGCAGACTACATAGTCTTCAGCCGCTTCCAGCTGCAAGATTCTGAGCAAGCAGGAGGCCCTTAGCACTTACAGCACTGAGAAACTGGTGATCTCTGTCCTCAGAATAACATCTCCCAGATCCCATTCCAGTTTTCAAGAAAGCTCCCATAAGCAGCAGTGCACTTTGATTTCCCTGACCAGTACAAGCAGTGATCTTTTGCCAAACATAACACGAGATACCACTTGAGATCAGACATGCAGGGCTGGGATTTGCTTCCTAACACAGTTCTGGCCTGCAAAAAAAAAATCCTTACACAAAATCTTACAGTGTGGAGCGAGGGAGGGAAATAAAACCCCATCAAGCTAAAAAACCCTGCTCTCAGCAATTCGAAGACATTAAACATCCACAGGTCTTGGCATTTCTGATCCAACAACACTTTGCACAAGCAGGAGCCGCTCCAGAGGGATGCAGCTTTGGCTGTCCCCCCCAGACACACGGTGCACTCACCCTCCAATTCTCTTCTTGAGCTCGATGGGTTTCATGTCGTCAGCCGGCGCCAGCTTGAGGGCGCCGAGGGGCGCGGGCGCTGCCGGGTGCTGCAGGGGCTGGATGGGCTGCGGCACCACATGGTGCTGGGAGATGGCCAGCACGGGCGCCGTGTAGTGCGGCAGCTGCTTGGGGCTGCCCGAGGGCGGCGTGGCCGCCTTCCCGTCCGGCAGGTGCGGCCCCGGCGGCCGCTGGATCACCGGTGCCACCGAGGGCGCTTCCTTGGGGACACTGGGAGTGCTTACGAGGGGCTGGTGGCGCTGCACCAGCGGCGGCGACAGGGCGGTCTGCGCGGCTTGCTGGGGGGAGCTGGTGACCACGGGGATGGGAATGACTGAAATGGGAGCTGCCAGGGGCGGCGGCGGCAGGGGCACTGCGCCCGGGGGCGAGATGGGCACCAGCAGTTCGCTCCGGGGCTCCTCTGGGGACAGGGTGCTGTTGGCCCGTGGCACGCTGGCCTTGCCCGCCTTCTTCTGCTCCTGCTCCCTCTCCAGGCAGAGCTTCTCATGCTTCTCATTCTCCTCTGAAAGAGAAACACCCACAGTGAGCAATGGCGCTTCCCTGACCTTCCCTGAGAGCGGCCTACAAACAGCACGGGGCAGGATCTCCAAGTTAAAATACCCTGGGTTTTATACTATCCCGAGTGAACCCCAGCTCAATGGACACTGCACTGATACAAACACATCAGGGCACCTCTTTTCTGCTGTGGATTTTAATCAAGCTCTTAAACTTGGCTTTGATGTGTGTATGTTCCTATATGTTTTCAGAACACCAGACAAAGTAAATGAAATCTATGTGGCCCGACTAGCAAAATAAACCTCATCAAACGCAATCCAGGGCTCTGGCTTTAATTGCGTGAACATGGCACAAACAAAATTTATTTATACAAGTCCTGTGGCGCCAGTGGCCCTGGCATCTAGACATTGCGCAGCCTTAATCAAATATCTCCAAACCCACCGTCCGTGAGGCTCAGCAGATCCCGCTCCTGACAACCTCTGAGGAGCTGCAACAAAAGGTGGTGCAGCAACCTCTGCACAGTAATATACAAATATATGGAAAATAAAACCTTAATTTATCAAGGGAGGGATTAGGGGAAGGACATGGACAGTTGGGTGTTCTGTCTTATATAGTCACCAAAATCAGGTAATTCAGAGGAAGCTCTAAGAAACATCCCAACAGAGCCTCTCCCAGGAGAAGCTCTGGCTCGACTGAAACACTGAAGTCAGAACATGTATTTAGGAAATTAGAGAGAAGAGCATGTATGCTGCCGCCTGGAATGACCAGGTTATTTTCAATCCCCCAGTGATCTTCAAGACAATCTGTATTGACGTAACAAGGGGAACAGGGCCCCACCAGGCACAGAGCTGCCCAGCTGGCCACCCCCGAGGGGCCCTGCCACTACTGGGATACTTTCTAATCCATCTTTTGATTTTGAAGGGTATGGTGCAAAAGCTACAGAGAGCAAAAAAGGCAACAAAACTCTTACTCCCGATTCTGAATGCCCTTTGGTACGTGTGACCGCACAGCAACACCGACCCAGATCCAGTTGACACAATTTACTGAAGTTCAGCTGCAGTAGCAGCCCAAACACAGCCCAACCTCCCCTGGAGAGTATGAGCCAGCTCAAGCAGCCAGCTGCCAAGGTAAACACGGTCCTGAACCCACACCTGGACAAACCACCCTCTGGACCGAGCTCTGGCACTGGGGCTGCAGCCCCAGCCTCTGACCCTGCAGCAGTCACAAAAGCACCATGTGAAATTCTGTCATCAGGAAGGGTTTCACATCCATACAGCACTCTTCCCAGGGCTGCCCGAGACTCAAATCCACAGTTTGCTTTCAACTTCTGCAGCACAAGTAGGGTGAGTGAGCAAACGATCTGACTGACTCCAAAATAGGAGGGAGGCTGCTTAAGCAGCAGCTGAGCCTTAAAGCTGCATTTCTCTGTATTTTCTCAAAATATTTCAGGGTATTATCAACAGTTCCTTAAAGGAAGAAGCAAAGCAGCGCAGGGTGGCAAAAACCCCATCAGGAATCCCCTGATGTAAACACAAATCTCAGCTACCAACAATTTCGGAGTGTTTCAGTTCAACGACATTAATAACTAATAAAGAAAAGCCCTTTGTCTGCAGGTCTCTTGCTCCACTTTGCTGCTGGTTCGCAGCCAGAGCCAATGCAATGGCCCTGGCACAGGGTGCGTGAGGAAACCCGGCCCCGAGGACCTGCTGACTCACGGTGCTCCCTGAGCACATCCGGCCCCGGGGACAGAGAGCGGCCGCAGGCTGGCCGGCACCGCTGGCCAGGCACACTCAGAGCAAAGGAGTCACCAGTGGGGAGCTGGGGCAGTGCCTGGTGAGCACAGCAGGACCTGCCGGGCTGCTGGAGGTGACACAGCCACAGCAGAGCAGAGCTCCCAGCCACGACACCTGAGATCTGCACCCAGGGCAGCACGGGAGCAGGAGCCGGCCTGGAACTCCTGCAACCAGCTACACTCGTGGGGAAGGGAGAGAACAGCCAAGCAAGGTTAAAGCAGGCATTACTGATCACAAGTATTTATGTAAATGTCTCTGGAAGCAGGTGCAGCCCTCGGGCTGCTGACAACCTGCCAGCAAGGCCTTTGGTGTTGCTCCCTTGAGCTAAAGAGTTTATTTCAAGGATTTTTTTAGCCAGGATCTAACACTGAAGAGCCACTGTCCTCTTGGGTCTGAGTTACCCACAGGCAGGGTAGGACCCATGCTCCCAGCCTCAGCAAAAGGACTGGAGGGCCCTGAGCCACCTCCCTGGACAGAAACCCTCCCACTGGGTGGTGAAGGTCTGTCTCCTGCTTGCTTTGCACTCACACCCTGCACACAAACCAAAGATGCTCTTTGAAGAAAGCTCCCCCAAGCTCTGTATTTTCTCATATGAAGGAGGCTCACCCACGTTTGGTCACAGATACAGATCAAGGAGGTGTGATCACCATGCTGTGTGCTGCGTGGCACATGCCAGACACATGCAAGGCTCATTCCCTCCCCCGTGGCACACCCAGCACAGGATCTCCTGCAAGCCCATACACAGAAAGCAGCCAAGGCTCAGGGCATCCCCTCGGCCAAGAGGATAGCTGAATCCAAAGGTGCACCTCAAAGTTATGTGTAATTTCCACTAGTTCTTCACACTCTTAACAAGGGGACTGAGGACAGAACAAACCATGGGAGTGAACCAGTCCTGAGAACTCCCAGGGGATCTCAACCACAGCCCAAGCACGAGGGGTCCTGGAATCCCACCCTGGCCACACCACCCCACTTGCCAGCAGGTTCACATGGTGAGAGCAGGTACCTCAGGTCCCTGGCCACACCACCCCGGCAGTGACAGCAACATGGGCAGCCACGGGACAGAACAGCAAATCCTGTCCTGGGAGGACACAGAAACAGGGTCAGCACCCCTGACCAGTGGTCTGGTGCTATTTAGGGCCTCGATGGTCTGAGTACACAGCACCAGGCACTCTTTGTTACCTAATAATCTGCTGTGTTTAAATATATCTCGCCCCTTTTGGCTGCCCTGGAAATGCCACCCATCTGTCAGAGCCCTGCTGCCAGGCCAGCCAGGAGCAGTGGGTAGAGCCCTCGGGCCGGCAGAGTGGGCCTGCAGCAGCCAGGGCATGGCCCCAGCCTCCCGCAGCCTTGCTGGAGGAGCAGGCTCTGAGGGATGCCAGAGCCCTTTGAGTGCTCCCACCTTTCACTAGGGACACCATCAGCACCCAGAGTTTATCAACAGTGTCTGCCTTTGCATAGCCCAGCATCCCACCTCTGTGCGTGCTCAGAGGAGAACATCTCTCACTGCAGGAACAGTGGGGCAGTTCGGTGGGGTTGTTTTCTGAATGGTCTGAAGTGTTTTTCTGAATCATTCAACGCTTCTGGGAACTTATCCTGCATCCCTTGAACTGCTACAGCCCTGGAGAGGAGTGCCTTGGGTGTCACTCACTCTGGATACGCAGCAGTGTCACCTGCAGGAGTCACTGCAGGCTCCTACCAGGAAAGTGCTGCGTACTGAAGAGTCTCCAGGTATTTACTACCTAAAGGCTGCCCTGGGGGGGACAAGTCATGCCAAGAGGAAGGGCAGGCTGGAGCCTGGAGGTTAGATTGTGTTTCTGCAAGTTCCTGGCTCTGCAGGGGAGAACCAGGAAGGGGGAGATAAGAACAGTCAGCAGAACTGGAGCCCAGCAAAGCTCAGCATCAGCCAAGCAAGCTCTGAGTCACAGCAAATGCTGCTGACACCAGAGGCTGCAGCACACAGACACAGGCACTTCCAGGCCTAGGAACAAGCCTACAGGACTGAGAACCCTTTAAAATCAGGACACTTTTCTGACTCCTCCTGAATTTTGGTTGACAACAGCACAAGCCCCACTTTTCTCTCCCATCTTAGCTAAAATTTGGCAGTTTGGTGCCCAGCCCTTGGCACTGTTGTTTCTCCACCGGTACCACAGCAGACCCAAGACATGGCACTGTTTCCCAAAGCCCTCTGGGCTCCTGGCCGTGCCCTCAGTGCAGAGCCGGCTGCCAGGCCCCCGGTGACACTTCCACAGGGCCAGTGGCCACTGCTGCTCCCAGTGCTGCGTTCAGCCTGACCCCGAACGGGCCCACTCCTCTCCTCCCCACACACACCGGGCCTCATAGCACCTCAAACACCAACTGAACCGCATTTCAGGAGCACACTGCTCACAAAGGAACCTGAAATGCTGCACGATTGGAACTCAGAAGTTCACAATACACTACAGAGAAGCAAGAGCTAGGCCAGCCTAGCTGGGGTCAGTTTCAGGGGTTCAGAGACCCCCACCCCTACCTGAGACCCTCCCTGCCGAGCGATGCTGCTGCACTGCCACTGCTGTCACAGGCTCACACCTCGTCTGCAGACTGGGTCACCATTCACTGCTAACAACTGCAATACTCAGATCTCCACCTTCTCAACCAGAAGAACAATCAACAATAACTAAATAAATACCTGGCAGACATTTCTAAAAACAGCTTCTCCACTCTCTACAGATAATTTACATTTACAATAGCTTTAATAAGCTATTCCAGTGATTAAATGAAACCCTGAATCAGCTCTAGAGTAATTTTAGCTGCATTTTAGTTACAACTAACTCTTTGTGGACAGAAGAAAGAAACAAAGGGTGAGGATTTAGCAGCACTACAAAGGAAAACAGATCAAGATTGCTAAAAAAACAAAACCATCATGGAGAGTCTTATCTCTAGAGAAACCCCAGGACCATCATGTCACCAGGATGCCAAGCGTGCCACTGTCACAGCTGCAGCATCACACCTTGGTGGGCCGGAGGGATGCACAGCTCCTGTTGTACCCTTCCATGGTATTTGGGATGAAGTGCAAGAAAGCACTGGCTCTGACAGGCCATGTGGGCATCAACAGCACATGCTGACCCTGCTCCACCATCCAAGGAGCTGCACCTGGGCAGCCAAGCAGGTGAGCTGTCCTACACAGGATGGGCCTGTGCTTCTCCCCCGGGCATCAGCGTTTTTAAGAGACAAGGAGACAAAATAACGCACTCTGATAAAAAGCATGTGTTTCTGTCACCTGAACAGCTTCTGTGTCACAGTTCAGAGCAAGAAGTGCCATGGCTGACAGGCAGGACCCAACCCACCCGCTCCCACGCACATGAGGACACTGCTGTCCCTGCTTCTGGCCCAGGGACAGAGGCACACACTACAGGAACAGTGAACCATGACGTGCCTTAAATGTACAGGTTGGAAAAGAACAGTAAACATGAACTGACTTAATAAACAGTATTAGAAACAGACTGTGTATCCTTAAAACAGACCAAAAAGCCCAAAGATATGCCCTCAGAAGAAACTCTGAGACCCCACTTCATCCACTGCTGGCAAGAGCTCTGCAGCCTGCCTTGAGTCTACAGCTCGTGTGTCACACAGCCAGCAAGGGAGCACAGACAGGTGAAATGAGTTCAGTGAGTCATGGCAAAACTGGATCTGGCAGATAACAGCCAGCCTGTTAGGTAAGCGTGTTTGCTCCAGGTAACATTCCTCGATCCTGTGACGAGAACAAGGGCTCACTGCTGCACCTTCATCCCAGGGCTGCACCAGGCCTTGCCTCCACAGGCTGCTCACTCTAGCCAGCTTCCTTCTCAAGGAAATGAATGGAAATGTGCAGATTACCCTTTAGAACCCTATCTCCATACTTGAAAGAGAAAGAAGAATCAATTTTGATGGGTATCTGCCCATCAAAACAGGGAGTCACCACTATCACCTGAACTGGCTGCACCAAGGCAGTTATGCCTGGAATCCCACAACAATTATCCTTGCCACCCCCGAGATTCAGACATTGCTGTGTCACAGAGCAAGGCTCTTCCTGAAGTCAAAGTCTAATTGTCACTATGTCACTATGGCACTGTTGTCCTCAGAACTGCAGTGCAGCTCTCCTGCAAGCCTCTGGAAACAGATAAACTCACACTGTGTGTTGGGAGGTGCTTTAACCTCCCCGACAGAATCCCAGGTGGGTGTGCTGCCTGTGGCAGCCAGCGAGGCCGAGGCTGAGCCACACAGCACCCTGGTGAGACAGAAGCCAGTGGTGGGCAAAAAGCCCCACAAGGTTTCTGGAGATGCACCCCAACATTATACTGATGAGATCTGTTGGAAGACAACAGTGAGAGACCGCACAGAGCACAGCACTGAGCCACTGCCCAGCCACGGGCACAGGGTCTGAGCAGGTTCTCCTCCTCACCCACTGGCAAAAGGAAAGTGGCACACAGCCAAAGGAAACCTTCCTGGCCACCACACACCATTATCACTCCCAGGCGATTCAGTGTGCCCAAATGGCAGGTAGGTGAGATGGAAAAGCCCAGAACTGTGCTTGCTGCAGGGTCACTGCCTGCACAGGCCTCACTCAGGAAAGGAATGGTGTGAATGAACTGTGCAGCATCGCAAGATGAGCATCTATGGGAAAAACCCTAGGAAAACAAGTATCAGTTACTTGCAATTATAAAGAAATTTGTTTTCCTTAGATCATGGAACATTCCTGGATTAATCTAAATTCAAAGCAATCAGCACCCTCTAATTCAAGTCAAATGTCTCTGGAGCTTGCACACAACAGAGAGAGAAAGATTTGAAAGCTGATGACCCCAGGCTGTGAGTCTGGGCCCATGTAAACGAGTGTTACATGCCTGGGAGGCACATGCTTACAGCAAGAGGGTTACAGCAGCAGCAGCAGCAGGCACTGCTGTCAGCTGCAGACCCAGCAGCCCTTGGATGAGTGCAGTATATACTTCTTAATGCTGTTCCCCAAACTGATTGATTTTCAGGCCATACTGGACCCCTGGAGTTCCACAGTGTAACTGGGGGTATAACAGACCATAATGCTTTGCAGAACACAAGATTTCAAGGGGGAGGAGAGGAAGAACACAAGGCAGAGAGGCCAACCCAGTCTTACTGTTCTTACTTATTACTTCCTAGTGCTTCCCAGCTGTTCCTGTGCTTGTGCTCTCCCCTGAAATCTTCCTGCCACCCAAAGGTCACTGCAGGGCTCCTCCCTCTCTGCCAGAGTCTTCCTGGTGCTCAGACTTCCCTGAAGTGGCCACGTTTGCACTGACGCTGCTGGCCCTGCACCCAGCCCAGCCCTTACGTGTCTGTGCCCCCCAGCAGCAGCCAGAGCCCGGGGCATGCTCGTGGTGGCTTTGTGTGACACCGCATCCCCACACATCCCTGTGAACTGCTCCTGGAGCTGAGAAGCCTGCAGGCTGTCTTTTCTTTGCTGTGTTACCCTGCCCATATACCCTGCTCAGCAGTAATTCCTGCCTCAGAAAGCTGTCCAGCACAACAAGGCAGGTCCCTCCTGCTCCTCTGTAACCCAGAGCACAGCTTGTTGAACCCACTCACAAGATGCTCCCGCAGCGTGGGGCAGCGGGATGGCAGCGGGATGGCAGTGGGATTGGCAGTGGGATTGGCAGCGGGATTGGCAGCGGGATTGGCAGCGGGATTGGCAGCGGGATTGGCAGCGGGATTGGCAGCGGGAGCTGTCTCCCAGCAGCAGGAGACAAACCCAAACCTGCAAAGGTTGAGCCCCGGGTGTTTTACTGCTGCACCCTGAGCACGGCCACCACCTGTAAGCCCGGAGTCGGGACCACCACAGGCTGGCGGTGGCAAGGAGACTGTCAAGGGCTGGGAAGCAGCACCGGAGCTGTCACCCAGCCGGCGGGGAGCGCGGACCGGGCAGCCCCTGCCATCTGCACAGCCTGGGCTGTGCTCCGCGCTCGGAATGCTCCCGGCCCTGCGCGGCCCCTCAGCACCGCATCCCCGTCTGCTGCGTGACTCATCACCGACACAATGGGCGGCGGCACAAAGCGCCGCTCCCGCAGCTCCGCCCGAGTCCCCGCGCCGTGGCCGCCGCGGGAGCGGGGCCGGCGCCGCTGTCCCGCAGCCACGCGCGGGCGGCAGCCCCGCCGCGCCCGCCGCTGCTGCGCGGCCCCGGGGCACAGATTGCCGCTCCCGGAGGGCCGGGGCCGCCGCAGCGGCGGCGCGGGGCGCGGGCGGTGCGGGGCAGCGGGCGGCGCGGGGGCGGCCCCGCGGGGTTCCCCGGTCCCCTCCGGGGTTCCCCCGTCCCCTCCCGCCGCCCCGGGCGGGCCCCGCAGCCCCCGGAGGGGCCGCGCGGGGCGGGGCCGCGCGCACGTGGTGGCGGGCGGGGCCGAGCCGGTGACGCGCCAGGCCCCGCCCTCCCGCCGGCCGGGGACACGCAGCGCGCGGGGCGGGGGCGGCGGCGCCCCCGGCGGGAGCGGGGCCCGGCCCGGGGCAGCCCCGCCCGCACGGAGCCCCCGCCGCGCCGTCCCCGAATCCCCCCCGTGCCCTGACACTGCCCCGCCCGCCCCGAGTTTCCCTGGGCCGGATGCCCCCGGCACCGCAAAGCCCGCGCCGGTGCCCCCCCGCCCCTCCCTAGTGCCAGTGCCCGGGTAGCCCCGGCCGGCCGCGGCTGTCAGGCGCGGCCCCGCGAGGCGCGGGCGGACGGTCACTCACCACGTGCGGTCTGCTGCTGCTGCGCCTGCCACTCCAGGAACCGCGCCGCCTCCAGCAGCGTCTCGATGCTCATGGCGCGGGCCCGGCCGCCGTCGCCGCCGCCGCCGCCCGGAGCGCGGGCCCGCCCCGCCCGCGCCGCCCCGGGCTCGCCCCGCCGGCCGCAGCGCTGGCGACAAGATGGCGGGTGGCAACAGAAACACAACAGGCGGGCGCTGGCGCGGCCCCGCTACTACGCGGCGGGCGGCGCCAAGACGTGGAGTGGAATTCGGGGCGCCGCCCGGACGGGACGGGACGCGCGGGGACGCGGCGGCCGGCCCGGGCCGGGGACGCGCGGGCACGGACCCGCAGCCCCGCCGGTCGCGCGGGGCGGGCGCCACCCGGGCCGGCCCCGGGGCGGGCGCGGGGCGCGAGACGCGGCGGTGGCCGGTCCGGTCCGGCGGCGGCGGGATCCGGGCGCCGCGTTTTGCGGGCGGCGCTCCCCCCGCAGTGCGCTCGCGGCCCGGGGCGCGCTGTCAGCGCGCGCGGGCCAATGGGCGCGCAGCACAACACGCGTGCTGCCCTCCACATGGGCGCCCCGCGCCGCCGCGCGCCTTAAAGGGGCCGCGCCCGCCGCGCCCCGCGCACGTGCGGGCCCCGCGCCTCCGGCGGGGCTGCCCCGCGCACACCGGGCCCGGGCCGGCGGAACCGCGCCAAACAAACCCGCCCGGCAGCGGCCGCTCTGCCATCCGGGCCCCCCGCCCCCGCTGTGCCCCGCAGCGCTCCCCGGTCGTGTCCCGTCCCTCCCCGAGCTGCCCTCGGTCACCGGCTGCGGGCACGCGTGGCTCCGCGCTCTGCCTGGCCTTGCCCCGCAGCCGCGGGCTGGCTGCACGGAAGGGAAAAGCCGAACCCTTTTTAAGGATAAAAGCAAGGAAGAGGGAGCCCGTTGGAAAGGGTCAGCACAGCAGTGCCAGCTCCCCGGGAAACACCTCGCACTGCGGCTGCCTACGCTTACCTTGAGCAACGTTTTCCTGTGTACAGCCCCTTTGTCAGTAGCTTGTGAAACTCAACTGAACTTCAGTTATCCACAAGGAAATTTTCCATTCTAATTTCCATTCTATCTACCTCTGACTGACTTCTGGTTTTTGGCTGGGAAGAGATACTGAAGTAAAGGGAAAATAAACTGGTTAGAAAAAACAGTGCTTCTCACAGAAGGAATGGGATTAAAAAAACCGAGATTTTCTTATGAGAATTTTCATTCTACCTACAAACATTAAGGAATTTACAAACCTAAAACTGCCCTGAGGAATGGCCACTGAAGGGGGCGAGCCCAAATCCCTGTGGGATGGGCTGTACTGTTTGTGGAGCTTGGGGCTGGCTCTCAAGGTGCTTCTGTTTCCCACTGCCCGTGCTGGGCAGTCAGGGCGATGCCTCATCCTTGCTCAGCGTGTGACTGGTGGCCTCATGCACTGCACGTTCCTCAGATCCTCCTCTGCAGATGCAAGGAGTCATTTCCTCCTGGGCTTTGCCATGAACTCATCCTTGCGTTATCAGAATTCCTCACAACAGCAATGAGGGTAGCATCATCACACATGAGCAGAAGATGTAGACAACTATGAGCAGAAGAGGTAGATAAAATACAGATATAGATGAAGCCTGACCAAAAGAACTCACTCGGGGTAGCTTTGGGCAGGTGTAGCTCATGGAGGGACAAGCTCATTTCTCATGGAACTTGTCAGCTGCTTTCCAGTGATCTTGCAAACTGCCTCACGGGCTCCTCCCAGCTCCCGCAATGAATGGAGGAGTTTCACACCAGGAATGCCGTCCATGAGCCAGCCCAGCTCGCCAGAGCAGCCCGGGCTGTGCTGAGCTCAGCCTGTGACAGCAGCGGGACACGGTGCACGTGGCCTTGGGGAGCTCAGTAACAGCCACTCCAGGGCTGCCCGGAGCTGACATCTCCCAGGTTCTTCCCTGTGCAGCCTGGATGTACTCAGGTGTCTGTTGCATGTGCTGTGTGTGACTGTATGTCAGATTCAATAACCGGGTTGTCTGATCCCAGCAGAGGAGCTGAGGACAGCCCAGCCCCTGGCCAAGTAGCTGGAGAGCAGCAGAGAGCTGGGACACCCACAGCTTGGGCTGGCTGTGCTGTGCATGCTGCAGGGCTTCGGCTGCTCATCTGGCTCTCCAAAAAGCTGGACATCCTGACAGAAAGGTGCCTTGGACTTCTGTCCGAGGGGAGCACACGGCTGGGACAGGCACTTGGCAGTCCAGGCTGCTGCTGTGGGCTGCAGGGCTGCACTCCAGGTCTGTGTATGCACCAGCAAGGTGTGGGGGTCTCCAGCCTCTCTGTAATCTCTCTGTAATCTGATTACAGCTCTCTCTGTAATCCTGCAAACCACCTGGGTTCACTGTGCTCTTCTAGATGGACTCGGTTTGAGGAAGGAATTGCTATTCTGCCATCAAACCTGCTGTACAAACTGCACCTCCTTCCCCAGCCCTGCCTGCAGTGCCACAGCCCAGCCCAGAGACCCCAGCCCTGCAGGGCCACAGACTCTGGGTTTAGTGGGTAAGACAAAAAATCCCAAACAAGGCAACAGAAATGAGTCATTAGAGGAGGTTATGGAGCATACAAAAGACAGTGCTCTGACTGACTGAGGGTGCTTGATTGAACACAGCTTTTGAAAGAAACGTTTTCAGGTGCCATACAATAGTTTAGTCCTGTGCTGGGTTAATGCTTTAGCAGGAGGCAAAACATTCCTTCTTCTGCCTGCTCACATCTTTTGCAACACTAATCTCGAAGGAGAGTTGTTTGTTTTGAAACCCTGAGCTCTGTGGGCTCTTGACTGCTAAGCTGGCTCCTAGCTTTGGCAGCTCACAGTAGAAATCAGCGTCATTAAACATTCATATCTGAGTGATGTTTCCTGATTAAATTTACTTATTGCAAGTTTTTGGACCTGGCTGACAGAGCAGCTTGTGTACACATCCAGAATCCATCAACTGTATATATTCATCTACCTCTGGAAGGCTTTATGGAAGGGTTTTCACTGAATCATTTGACACTGTTACTGGAGACAGGGATGAACCAGAGCACTTACATTATCTGGGTTGACTTTGTGAACACTTTAGGGACTGTGTTTAAAACTTTGTGTGTGTGTTACAAGTACCAAGAGGTCCAATTTCTACTCCATTGTGCTCCACACTTGGGAAGAGCAGGCACTGGGCTACATCCACAACCCTGCCAGACACAGACCTCAGTGACGTGGTCTGAAGTCAGAGCTGTCCTTCCTGTCAGGCTGCCCAGCCTCGGGAACTCTGCTCAGGGCTGTGCTGGTCCTCCTCACCTGGGCTGCTCCTGACAATGACCCATGGCAGGAATCTCTGCCCAGGGAGAGAGGGCTCCTGAGCAGGTGGCACTGCTGGAGCTGCCACATGCAGCCTGCACTAGGGGGACAGGGGTCTCTTCAGTTTCCATCTGTGGTTTTAAAACTTTCAGTCAAATCCTTTGACTGGTGTTTTTTAATCTTCTCTAAATATTAGATGTAACTTAGGAGAATTCAGGCCTTTGGTCTCCTTATAAGCATCTATAGTTTCTAAGGTGAGCCTTTTTACCTGTTTTGAGGGAATGCCCAGGGCATTTTATCTTTTTATCTGTGTATTATTTCCTGTTTAGTCAGTCCTTTAGATTGCATTGGGTGATACTCAGATGGCACAGATATTGATCTCTATGATGTTGTGGCTGTAGTTGAGCCTGAAGGAAATCACTCTGAAACATTCTGAGTGGTGAATTTGGATAATACCTTAATCATGAAGCTGGGCTGTTGTAAATGCCTTTCTTTGTTTCGAGAGTTTGATGGCATTATATAAAGTTTGAATGGGCTTAGATTTACTTAGATAAAATGATGATGATATTCATATATAAACAGTGCAGGAAAAAGCAGCAGTGTTTATGAGGCTCATCATCTTTCCTTCCTTCTCCCCCCCACAAAACAGACGAGATTTGAAAGGAGATGACAAATTTCCATTTGAGGATTGACACTGTCTTGCAATGGCACAAGGCTCACCTAATACCCTACACATATCCTATACTAGGGATGTGATGGATGTTAAAAAAACCACTTCAGCTGTGCAGGCCTGGCAGAATAACTGCAATAGTGCTGGAGATCTGACAAGCTCCTTCCTGCTCTCCTGCTTGTTTCCTTTCTGGCTGTGCAGAAACAGCTTCTCTGTGCTCAAAGCATCCTCAGGATTTCTGCATCTCATGACCGGCAGTGAGTTTAGCTTTCTGGCAGCATTCATCTCTGTGACTTTTCCCCCAGCTCAGAAATGATGCTCATTAATTTCCTGACTTTTCTGAAGTCACACAGCCCCTGAGAGCCAGGGCATCACCCCCAGCACTGGTGTCTGTGCAGGGACTGAGCTCTGTGTTTGCACCCTGGGTTGAAAACTCTCAGCATCCATCTGCCGCAGCTGGGCTCCACAGCTCAGCTTCCAGCACATGGGATTCTGCTCTTCCCTCACTCTGAATAAGCAACTTTCAGTTCAGGCATCTGAATAATCTGTCTGAAGTCACTGGAATATATGACTGCCTAAAGTTTTCTCTCCTACTTAAATACTTTGTTGCTCAGGGCCTAAATTACAACTGAACATAAATGATTAAATGAGTGTTAATTCTCCCTTTTCAGGCTTCACACCAAATAAGAAATCACCCCCAACTGTGGTCACATGAAAGCAGGAGTTTATCTCAATATTTTCATTTTGAAATTCAAGCACCAAATGCAGAAAAACCCACAAGGGTGAAAATAATTAGTGCTGTTTCTTACTGAACCATTCTGACTTTCTCTGTAATCCTTTTATTTAGGGTTTTAATTATGAATAAATTCTTATTGTAAATATTTAATCATGGAGAGTGGTTAAGCAGGACATGTGTGATGAACAGGTCTCACACAGATCTGCTGATATGGCTGCAAACTCACCCATTCCTCCCACAGCAGCACCTGACATCCACCCAGGGCTGACACCGGATTCACGGGGTCTCAGACACTCCCCTGTTCCTCCTGGTTTTACCCAGGAATCCCTGCACTGGCCCAGGAACTTCAGCACGACATAAGGACAG